GACCATTTGAAATCTTAGACAGAATTGATACTGCCGCCTATAGACTGGCACTGCCTCTAAAACTTTGCATGGTCCATAATGTGTTTCATGTGTTCATGTTACATAAGTACAACCCGGACCCCTATCAAGTCTTTGCCCATGAGCCTCTTTCACTGCAGGAGAATCTGTCTTATGAAGAAGTACTAGTCGGCATTGTAGACCGAAAGAGCAAATTATTCCAAAACCAAAAAATTCTCTTTGTTAAGGTCCTATAGGAGAATCACACACCAAGAGAGGTCACATGGGAACTAGAATAAAACTTCAGAGCCAAATACCCCCAGCTGTTTGATTGAGAGTGTGAGAGACAAATTTGAGGAACCAAATTTCCTTTAAGGGGGGAGAGTTGTAATGCCCAAGTTTGAATTTAATGTAAATTAAATTTATTTAAATGCAATTTTTTAATTTTTTTTAATTTTATTTTAGAGTAAAAATGAAATAAATTTGAGGAATGATGAAATTGAAAATAATTTTTGGGAAAAAATTTGGGTTCTGAGGGTATTTTTGAAAGAAAAATCAGAAACTGGATGTCAAAATATAATTTAGAGAAGTTTTACCATGTAGGATACCCGGTTAGCAACCCTGACGAATCAGGATGCGTCGCGTGGCAGTGGACGCTGACGCGATGCCACGCGGAAGACCACACGGGCGATCTGCATGCCCGCGATCGAATGGCCCAGATTTATTCCTATGAGCACGGATGGCCTGTATACGTTCCCTCCCCAACGCGATCAGACGATCAGATTTAAACGCAATCAGACGGTCTAGATTGGATCGCGATGAGCGGCCCAGATTAGATTACGATGAACAGTACAGATTCACTCCTTATTTAATCGCAATCGGACAGTTCAGATCAAACACGATCGAACAATCCAGATTAAATGCATACATATATAAATAACCCTCATTCACAACAAACCCTAACCCTATCCGCCAGACCCCTTCACCGGAGAAGAAGACCCAGCCGCCGGGAAAGAGACCACTGCCACCCACCGTCGCAACAGAGCCCTTTCCGACAGCCAAAAGAGGTAAAAAATTCTCTCCTTTGCTTAGAATTCAATTTTAAACACATCCGTGGCGAAATCGGAGTAAAAGGACTAGCCAATTGGCCAAAAAAATATGGGCAAAGCCTGGTGGCGCTACTACAGGGAATTTCACAAAACGCCTCCACTGAGGCCCTTTCTGGTTCCCGTTTTGTATAATTTTTTCTCTGTTTCCTTCTCTACAGGTTAACCAAAGCAAAATATCCAACCGTAACATGAGCTAGAGGAGCCGCCGCACTAGAGCGACTCGCCGTCAGTGAGTTTCAATTTTTTTGTGTTTTTTCAACCAACCGATGTCCTTTAACGTGTTTTCTCGCAGGGATTGATGCAGAATCGGCCAAAAACAGCCGACCCAAGGCAGACCACTGCCGTTGCCGGAGCACGGCGGAGCCGCCGTGCCTTAATTCTGAAATTGGCCAAAGCGGGCCCTGAGACTGATTTTCGATTTGTTTGGGACATTTATAGGTACGTATAGCGCGTTTTGATTCCCAAAAAAAATTTCAAGAAACCCAAAAATCGCTTGTAGGCGCAGTAAATAGCTTAGCTTTTGGGCATCAAATTGAGTAAGGATCCCTTATCCTATTCCTTATCATAGAATTGAAATCTAAATAAATAATAATACGGTATTTTGTGTGAATTTAGAAAATGTGCATACTTAATTACGGATTGTTAATGGAGCCAGAATCGAAAATTATTTACTGTTATTTTGTTGATTATTTTTACAGTTTAAATGCGTGATAGTACCTTATTAATTGATTTTATGGCTTTGAATGCATGTATAGTTTATTCTATGTGTTTACGACTGAATTGAAAAAAATGGAGGTTAAAGGTAAACTGAAAATTGTGCGATTAAGTGAAGAGATGAAATGGCAGCCTTACTAGATATCCTGGGAGATGGTGGACGAACCGGGTATATAAAAAATCCTACCGTGAATGTTGTCTCATACCGGACGAGATATCGAGACTTGGTAATTAGACATTCATACCGGACAGGGTATAGGGACGACCCGCTTCACCCGCATACCGGACGGGGTATCGGGACGGCGCGTAATTGAGAATATTAAAAGAAAAGGTCCACGTGTAGTAGGGACATTCCTATGGACCCCCATGGATACCAGCATACTGATAAAAAGAGTGACAGTTACTGTTTGATTTATTAAATATGGATATGGATTTATAATTATGCGCTATATTGTTGATTATACATGAAATCATGATCTATATAATATTATTATTTCTATAAGTTGTTTTTATAAGTCTCACTATGGTAAATGGACGATAAATTGTTTTATTATTGTTAAATAAATTTACTATTTTTATTACTTCATCAGTTGTTTTTTTTTTCTACCAACTTTTATTTCTGTATCGGTGATATAGTGTGATATCCTTACTGATGTAGTGTAGCTCATCTCTTATTTAACCATTTCAGATCAAAAGGAGTAGGATCCAGAGTTCGATCCGCATGAGGATTGCGAGTAGATGCTAGTTTTCTTTATTTTTGATTCATTTCCTTATTTCTTGTATTTCTTTCAAAATGATGAATTCTGTAACACTGTTTGGTACTTTAAGTTATGGTGTAATAAATGTAAACATTGAATATTTATTTTGCTTCCGTACTTTAATTATCATTTATTTCCTTTGAATGTTTCCAGGGTCGTTACATAATCCTTCATCATTGATTTCCAAATCGAATAATCTGTAACTAATAATTCAATTATTTGCTTTTTCAAATTATTCATCTTAATCCACACAATTAATTTCATATCTTACATAATTAGGTTCTAATACCATTTATTGAGCTCTCAACAATATTATTCGCGCAAACTTAATTAAATTCAATGTATAAAAGCCCAATCTCTCTACAGAAAATAAATTAATATAACATAAAGTACAAAAACAGAAGATTTTTTGCGAAAAACCTCCAATATAGAGGAATAAAATGATTAGCTGAACTCTAAATCAAGTCCACTATCAAGAAACTATTGAGTAGAAACAATCGTAAGTTAATCACAAACTAGATAACTAATTATCTCCATAGCCAATATCTTATATATCTCTCTATTTGTAAATAAATTGTAGACAAATAATTTTTTAAATATTTTCGGATAATAAATATCTTGACAATGACCAAACATCTTATCAAAAAAACAAAAAAAAATCTGACTTTTTTTTTTTTTTTTTAATTTCCACGCACCTAGACAGAATTTTTTACTCTCCTTTTCTCTAAGTGCGACAACACTTTTCCTTATTATGCATATCTCCTCATGAGCCTCCCTCATATCTATTTATAATGTTCTTTCTTTTCTTTTTGCGTTCCATTTAACATTTCTATTCCTATACAAACATAAATACGAAATCCAAAAAATACTAACTCCTACATATACATGTATATGTGTATACATATTTGTGTAATGTGGTTTAGATTCGCTTAACAACTATATTTAAGGTTTAAATACATTTTTAGTTCTATATTATTTTTTTTCTCTTTGGGAAGAAAAAAATTAAATTATATTAATTAAATCGGTTTGGTTCCCTATAAATTTTGGACATGTTCGATTTAATTTAAATTTAAAAATTTTTATTACTTCAAATGTCACGTCAAACATTAAGTGATATTTGACGTAAAAAATTAACTAGTTAAAAAATATTACACGTCTAAGTGGGTGATATCATTGTTAATGGTATTAGTTTGACAGTTCACGAGATACTGATTTAAATATTTTTAAAAATATAAGAATTAATTTAATATAAAATTAAGTAAATACTAAATAGAAAAAAATACATGAATAAAAAATATATATAGCCCTCATATATAACATTCAATTTCTTCTAAAAATGATTGAAAAAGAAGCAATATAATGTGTGATTGATATACTTACCACCGGACACGTATTTCCTTATATACACATTCATGTTTGTGATGGTGAGTCTCCTTTTTACTATACTAAAGAGTATGTATATATCAATGTATATAATTAGCATTCACTAATTTCTTCGCCTAACAATCCAATTGTCAAAATCTAAAAAATAAGACTCTTTATTTTTTCCATTCGACTTTTAAAAAAGTGATTTAAAGGCTTTGCAAAAGAGAAATGCATCCTTTAAGTGGCTCTTTTTCACGTAAAAGCACTAAAACAATGTAGAAGATTTGCACAAAGAGCCGGTTAATTTGATTATGGGTAAAATACAAAGCCAATTTGAAATGAAATTCTAAGAAAATAAAACCTGATTTATTACTTAATTAATTATGAATAAATATACTATTAATTAATTAAGGACTACCCCTCCTTAATTTTGAAGTTATTTCCAAATGAAATATTTCTTCTTTTTTTTTTTTTGGATTTTATTTATGTAAATAAATTAACATAATTTAACATATTGAAATATATAAATAAAAAATATATTTGTTTATAATCTCAATTCTGAAAGCAGCCAGTGGCATTGGCTGCCAGCCAGCCACTGACGTGGGTAAACCAGGAAGGAAAAAACCCTATTATTTCACACGTGTAGATAACCAACCGCAGCCACTAAAAGACTACTCACACGTGTGTCTCCTCCTCATTTCGGTTGGAATTCTTGAAGCACGTAAACGGTGACGTATAGCAATATTTCCATAATTACTCTCCATTTCTGTATACCGTCCAATTGATTCTACTAGATTGTTTGGGAGTTCCAAAAAAAAGGGTATTATTATTATTTCTGAAATTTATAAATTTTACCCAGAAAATTAATGTAAATAAAAAAAATTAACCTTATAATTTCTGTTGTGGACACGTGTCATCATCTGATACTCCCAACTGACGTAAACACTGACGTAGTCCTTGAGCCTTGATTTTGGGTCAACTAAGGTGTGACTTGTGGAGAGTCTATAAATACCATTAGCTTCCTCCATTACTTTGCAAGCGAAGCTGTTACCTCCTCCTCTCTGGACTCCATTAACGGCGGGGTTTAGTTAGTTTGTGTTGTTATATAATATTAAAACCCCCTGATTCATACTTGTTATACGTACATATTTTTATATTTATATACACACAGAGAGATACACTTCTTTCTGGGTGTAAGAATTTGGAGGAGGAGGAGGGAAAATGGAGATGAGCAGAGGACAGATATGTAATTTCATACATGGGTTGAAGCCGACGTTGTTAATGGTGGTGGTTCAGGTGGCATTTGCAGGGGTTAATATATTATATAAACTGGCGTTAAATGATGGAATGAAGTTGAAGATTATTGTCGCTTATCGTTTTCTCTTTGCTTCTGCTATTATGGTCCCCATGGCTTTGATCTTCGAATGGTAAGTACTCGTAATTTTCATTTAATTTCTTCTTTCTTTCCAGAATTTTATGAGAGGGGAAAAAAAGTTTTGATCTTTTATATTTTCTCATTATTATCTGTTTTGGTTAATTAGAAATCAGGAAGTTTCGAGAGTGATTATCATCATCACTGTTTTTTTCCAAAGCTATAATAATTCTTCCATTAAATCTGCATGCATTTTGAAAGCTTTTCATTTTCTGTATTTATTATTATTGTTTAAAAATTTACTGTGGCTTTGCATTTTTCATTACACGCTTTTCTTAAAAAAGGAATGAAAAGATTAATCAACTAAGCTGTCTGCTAGCTATGATTTATTTTCCCTGCTGGTTTGACCTTAACAAATTTACAGAACCCATCAGTTTTGCTCTACCAGATTTTGTTTTTGACAAACAAAATAATAATTTTTCCCGTTGTAATGCATACATATATGTATATACATATATATAAATATATATATATATACAGGAAGAAGCAGAGACCTCAGCTTACATGGACAGTGCTGTATCAATCTTTTTTTTGTGGGTTATTGGGGTAAGTATATTTAAGAAATATTAATTTTGTTTTAACTCTTTCCTTAAATATTTCCTCTACTTTTGAAAATAATAAAATTAAAAATTATATATATATATATATATAAGTTAAGTTAGTAATTATATTATTAATTCAATCCAGCTGTATCCCTGCAAAAATGGTTATCTATTAATATTGCATGGCCTTGTTTTGCTTCCCGTGACACTTGGTATCTTGTATACAATTTCTTTCCAACTATGTTCATCGACCTTCTTCCACATCCATCTCCAAAAATTATAAGATTATATATTTTCAACCTCCAATTTAAGTGGTTAATTAATTAATGAGATAAATAAATCCAACAATTAAATGTAATTTTGTATATATATATTTATTATATGTATATGCAGAGGATCTCTGGCACAAAACTTATACGTGGAAAGTTTGAATTTAACGTCTGCAACGTTCGCCTCTGCGACCACCAATCTCCTCCCAGCCATTACCTTCATTATTGCTGTCTGTTTAAGGTAATATACATATATATAAGTACAAAAAATCATATATATATATATATAATATGTATAAATTAAGCAAGATGTTTATGAGGGCATTGGATGATGAGACAGGATGGAAAAGTTAGGACTGGGCACGTTGCCTGGGAAAGCAAAAGTTACAGGGACATTAATGGGGCTTGGTGGAGCAATGCTACTCACGTTCTACAAGGGTTTTGAAATCAACATCTGGTCAACTAAGGTTGACCTTCTTTCCCATAAACGTCACGTAGCATCTTCTCCTATCCACCATACAAATTTTGCATTGGGTGGTTTATTAGCCCTAGCCAGCAATTTCTCTTATGCATCCTGGCTCATTATTCAGGTGAAATTTCAATTTTTTTAATTTTTTTTTTTCACTTTTCTAAATTTAATCAAATTTACTCACACAATATTATATATATATATATATATATATGTAAATTTTATGGCAGACTAAGATGAGTAAGACATATCCATTTCATTATTCAAGCACCGCCTTGATGTCATTAATGGGAGCCATGCAGTCAGTGGTGTTTGCTCTTTGCTCAGAAAGAGATTGGCAACAATGGAAGATGGGTTTCAACATTAGGCTACTTACTGTAGCTTATGCTGTACGTTTTCACCTACACCCATACGCATATCTATACACACACACACACATATATATATAGTATAGTTTAGTACTTGAATGCATGTTTAGTGATGTATAAGTTTTGGGTGTTCTAGGGTATGGTGGGTTCTGGTCTGATGGTGACTTTAATAGCATGGTGCGTGCGCATGAGGGGTCCTCTCTTTGCATCTGTCTTTAACCCTCTAATGCTCATATTAGTTGCTTTGGCTGGTTCTTTACTACTTGACGAAAAGCTCCATTTGGGCAGGTATATGTATATGTATATATATATATATATATGTATATACACATACAAATATATGTGTGTGTAAGACCAGTATAATAAATCTTGTTTGTGTAATACATAATTTCAGTGTATTAGGAGCAGCGTTGATTATATGCGGGTTGTACTCAGTGTTGTGGGGTAAAAGCAAAGAGATAAAGAAAGCGAATCAATTAGTCCCAGCAACGAGTCTTCGTCACCAGCATCATGATCTTGAATCTATCGAGATTGTTAATGTTGCATCCCACAACAACAACAAGACTACTGAAGAAAAAGAAGATTCAAAGGAGCATCAAAAACTGGAAGAGAGTAATTTTAATCAGAGAGAAAATTCACGAAATAACTAGTAGTAACTTGGAGGCGTTTCAGTAGATTAGACTCGAACAAAATCAATCATGTAATTAGTGTAGGTACATGCATGATTGTATATATAGCAACTAAGGGTATATATATATATATATATATATATATATATATATATACACCTTCTCTTTGTAACTGTTAGTCCATTAAATTGGGCGTTTTTGTTTGCTTAATTTCCACCCTTAATTACAGTAGAGAACGACTCAGAAAACCACTGTAATTTCTTTCATTTTCCTTCTAATTTAGCCACCTAAAATTACTTGCAACCTTTAAATATTATATGAAATTAATTTTTATTAAATATAGAAAAATTAAGAACTAAAATTCTGGAACTAATATCATTTTAAGTAATTGAATAAAACAACTGTCTCAAAAGCTTAAACTTATAAAAAATTACATAATTAATTATTTATGCTTTAACGACAATAAATAATTATAAAAAATGTATTTTAAAATATTTTGTTGTTGTACTTTTTTTTTCATTGTAAATTTGATGTCTACTAATTTCTTATATAGCGATTGAAATTCTTTCTTTGTTATGAGAAATATATTTTTTATATTAAATCATAAAAATCTTTTTGAACAACATATTTTTTTTTTGTAAAAACTACAAAATGTGTTGTAAAAAATAATTTTTTAAAACTAAACTATAAAAGTTAATGTGAGAATTTTTTTTCCAAAATACTAATTTATTTATAAGAAATCAATTTTAACCTTTTGAAATGATGATTATTCATGTGAAAAAATTAGTTTAATGTTTTTCTTTTATTAAGTTCTAGTTACAATACTTAAAATTGTTAACATATATATCATTTACTAATCATGTTGCATTGATTTTATTCCTTCACTCATTCATCTCATTTCAAATGAAAACATTCCACAAAATTAAGTGCTAATGCATGATTTTTTTTTATATAGAAAAAAGAGAAAATTTGTTGATAAGCCGTTGAACGATACCACTAAAAAAAATAATACAAGATAAATCCCTTAAAGAGGACCATCAAAACCTTAATATACTGATAAGTGGTAGCACATATGTATACTTGTATATAAATCTTTACCTCTTGAAAATATATTTTTTGAAAAAGTCTTGGGATCATATATTTATTTCTTCAGTTTATGGCTCTTTATTATTTTACAGATTTAAAATGCGTTAGAACTAGATGTGATAATATTTTGTATTAAAATTAGAATTTTTCTATTACTTTCTTACAGTTATATTGACAGCCTAACACTGTTGTCTTTGATGATAAACCTTGGCCTAGTATTAACTAGTCTTAATTGTAGTTGAATGTCCTCCCAGGGCTCACGATGACAATGAGTGCTTATTTATTACTTTTTGATGTCTTCTAAAAATTTGAGTATCTTTTATTTTTCTAGTGTTCAGATGGATAACTAGTGTTAGTGTTAGTTGAACATTCTAGGAAGGCTCATGATGACTAGAGTTTTCTCCCAAATGTTTCCAAAATACATACAACACATTCTTAATAATATATACAGAATATTTTCAGAATTAAATCACATCAATAGATATAATGCTATAAATCTCTAAAACAAAATTCATGATAGGCTCATCAAACACAATTTTCTTTTTCAAATAGATATTTTGGTAATTCTTTTTTCACTAATTACCTTTAGAACATATTAATTTATAGAACTATTATTCCATATACTATTAAGTTTCAAACACTATAAAAAAAAATTTGTTCCATAAAACACCTTGTATGTAATTTTTATTTATTTGGAATTTGAATATATATATATATATATATATATATCAATTTAATAACTTTTTCTGTGCCAACTATGAAATGAATCTTGATGAATAACAACCAGTCTATAGTCACATCCAATAACTATTCTACTCATGTGCAACAGCCAAACATTATAGATACAAATATGATGCCAAAATACCTTAAATATGAATTCATTGCAGGTTTGTTAAACAATGCAAGAATTTTGTTTCCATGGTTTTTTTTCTTACTTGTAAGTTTTAAAAGATGCAGTCTTTTAATATGCATATATTTCCTTTACTAACATAACATACAACTGCAAGATTTCACATGTAACATATATGTTTAGCTTCCATTATAAAACAACTATAGTTAATTAGTATATATATTACTTCATTTAATTGAATACAACAACTTTTATATGTAATATATCAACATATGTTTGCATATATATATATAGATATATATATATGCCTAGATATGATTAATAACTTATAGATATATAACATAAGTACCTATGGTACTTTCATTATTAGCATTTTGTTCAACACCTTGTTTATATATGTATATGGATGTGCATAATTTTTCCATAAGTATATATATTTATAAAGACACTACAAATAGAATTAGTCATAGTTATGAGAAATTTGAAAAAATAGTTGTTGTATTTTTCACTTAAGTTTGATAAAGAAATGTCTAAGGCAATGGTTTAGTGAAAAAAAAGTGAAATTTAATTCTATCTGCTTCATTTATCATCAAACACAAGATTAAAGGATAAACAATTGTGACATTAATGATATCACGTCATAGGATAGGTGGTTTGTAAAAATCATATAGGAGTTCTTGCTGAAGAAATTATAACCAAATTAACTAAGTACAAAATTACTAATGATTTTTCTGTAAGTTCTCAAATTAATCATTTTTAGTTTTG